AGTCTGGCAGCCCTGCCCCTCCAACCTTACGACCCAGGATTCTAGGTGCCCCCAGCCTGCCTTCCCCTAGGACCCTGGAATCAAAGTCGTCCCGCGGTACCTCCTGGGCAGAGTCATCCATCACAGACAGTATCCCTTGGTTGGGGAAGACTTTGGTGGTCTCTGGCTTTACTATGGGGGAGATGTTACTGTCAGAAACCCCTTCCCGGGCTCTCCCCTGCCCCACACCCTTCCCCGTCCGGGTGCCCACAGACACTCACCAAATACCTGGAGCTTTGAGGTGGCCTCAGCAGTGCCCGCTGCCGCCGTCACCACGCACACATAGTCCTGCTCGTCTGTCACCTGGGCCTCCACCAGCACCAGGTGCCCCTGGCCTTGGAGCTGGTACTGGGGACTGCGGCCCCGGGAGGTGTGCACCCTGGGCTTCACCTCGGAGCCCTGCACCTGGGCCTCGGCGAGGAGGTGGCGGGCCCCGGAGCGTTCGACCTGTGAGCAGGGAGGGCCTCCGCTCAGGGCTGCCCGCTGCCCGTTTCAGCGTCTGTCTCTCTCCAGGTCCCTTCCTCTCTGCTGCTCGGTGGCTCTCTTCCTGTTGTTACCTCTCTCGGTCCCTCTGTCTCTCTCTCCAGCCCTCCCGCCCCTGTTCTCTCTCTGTTGTCACCTTTTCCTCTCTCTTCATCTCACTCTGTTCCCATTTCTCTCCCTCCACCACCCTCTGTCTGCTTTTTTTAAAAAATATGTTTTATTGATTTTTTACAGAGGAAGGGAGAGAGATAGAGAGTTAGAAACATCGATGAGAGAGAAACATCAATCAGCTGCCTCCCGCACACTCTCCCACTGGGGATGTGCCCGCAACCCAGGCACATGCCCCCGACCGGAATTGAACCCGGGACCCCTCAGTCCGCAAGCCGACGCTCTATCCACTGAGCCAAACCGGTTTCGGCTCTGTCTGCTTTTTATTTTCTCTCCTCCTTCTTTCTCGTTAGTCCCACCCCCAGTCGTGCGTGCTTGCTGTCAGTCTCTGGATGTTCTCTCTCTCTCTCTCTCTCTCTCTCTCTTTCTCCAGCACTTTGAAGGGGGACTAGTCTGAGCTGGGCCCCGACACCAGCTGAACCTGAAGAATGCCTTTCCTTGCTGGGCCTCAGTTTCCCCAGCGGTCGAATGGAAAGGCAGCGGGGTGGCGGTCTTAGGGCCCTTCGGAGTCCGATGAAGGAAGGAATGTGTGCAGCCCCCTGGGCTGACTTTCAGGTCCCCCTCCACGGCCCCCCAGCCCCAGGCACTCACCAGGAACCATTTCAGCAGTAACGGGTTATGGTCCCCCAAAGGGGTGCAGTCCAGGGTGACTGTCTCCCCCCGCATCACCTCCACCAGCGGGGCCACGGACACCTGCATTCCCGCCTGGACGCCTGCGGGACAGCGACTGGGCTCTGGCCACCGCCACCGATGGGAGAGCCCTCTGGACAGAGGCCCCATCCCCCCAGGATCAGCGGCTCCAGCCTCCCTCCATCTCTCATCTCTGTGTCTCTGAGCTCAGACCCGATCAGCATTTGCCTCCAGCTCTCCCTTCACTTGCAGAGCTAAGGGCTCCTCCCCGGGCCACACAGGGCCTCCGTGGCCTCCATTCAGTCCTCCTGGGGTGTCGCTGCACCTGCCCCTGCTTTTACCACTGGACCAGCGGTTCTCAACCTGTGGGTCGCGGCCCCTTTGGGGGTCGAACGACCCTTTCACAGGGTCGCCTAAGACCATCGGAAAACACATCTATAATGACATATTGTTTTTGTGATTAATCACTATGGTTTCGTTATGTTCACTTTATAACAGTGAAAATACATCCTGCCTATCAGATATTTACATAACGATTCATAACAGTAGCAAAATGACAGTTACGAAGTAGCAACGAAAATAATGTTATGGTTGGGGGTCACCACAACATGAGGAACTGTATGAAAGGGTCGCGGCATCAGGAAGGTTGAGAGCCACTGCTCTACACCAGACACCCTTCCAGGCCAGGGCAGGGCCGGCTCATCCCACAGCCTGGCCCGCGGTGACGTGAGCGGAGTGTCTCCATCTCTGCCTGTGTTGTGTCTCTCCTCCTGGGGCTCCATCTCTTAGTTCTGCTGTCCCTGCCTCTGTCTCGCTCAGCTTCGGGGCCTCTCCCTCCCGAGTGGGGGGCTTAGGTGGGGTGTGGGCTGCGGCTGGGCCTGGAGCTGAGGCGGATGGGTGTGTGGGGGTGGTGAGGGGGGGACAGGGCTGGGCAGGTTTCAGGAATGTGGGAGGGACAGGCTGGCTCAGACATGCCCGGCCTGGCGCCAGAGCCCCCTACTCGCCCGCCTGTGGCCCCCCTACCTCTTTGGTAGAGCAGGGAAGGGGTAAGGTGCATCACCTCACAACAGGATAGGACTGAGGCCCCACATCCGGGGTCCTACGGGAGGAAGGAGGGGCTGGGGGCCTGGACTCCTGGGCTGGGGGGAGGAGGGGCTGGGAGCCTGCCTGGACTCCTGGGTCTAAGGGAGGAGGGCTGGGGGCCTGGACCCCTGGGTCTGAGGGAGGAGGGGCTGGGGGCCTGGACTCCTGGGTCCTAGGGGAGGAGGTGGCTGGGCCTGGACTCTTGTCCCAAGATCCTGGCAGATAGAGCTGCTCTCATCAGGAAACCACACTCTCTCACCCTCTGGGCTGGCATCCTGGCATCAGCTCTCATTTCTTAGAACTCCCCCACCCCCACCGCCCCAGCCTGGCCCATCCCTGCCCCTGGAGACCCACTATTTTGCTATGCTTGTGCCAGGGGCCTGGATTCCCAGGCACCCACCTCTGGCCCAGGCCTGTCCCAGGGGAGGGGGCATGGGGCCAGGCTGCTGCCTGGGCTGGGGCTGAGCGGCGGAGAGCAGGGGCGGAAGGCAGGACCGCCTGTCTTCCCCAGTTCCTCTCCCGCTGCTGCCAGCCGCGGCCCGCTCCCCTCCCACTTCCCCGCAGGTGTGCGGACTAAACTGGGGCCCAGGAAGGGGCAGGGTCACTAGGAAACACTCTGCTCACTGTCACTGTCCAGGGCTGGCCTCCGGCCCTTCCCCGAGGGAGGCGGCTCTTCAGAGTCTGGGCTCTGAACCCCTCCGATGCCCTGATCCCTGGGCGCTAGCGATGGGACTCCGCTCCTCTCAAAACTTGAGACTCCCACGAGGGGCGCCCCGGGCTGTGGTCTCCTGGGCCCTGGGAGGAAGCCATGCCAGCCACCAGGGGCTTGGACCCCTGGGTCTGAGGGAGCAGGGGGGTCGGGACCCAGATCCAGGGGCAGCGGCTGGGGGGGTCCCAGCTCCTGCGGTGGAGTGGGAGGGACTCTGACTTCCCGGGTGGTCTCTGCCTACGGCTGTGGGGTCCCCAGCCCCTCTGCCCGGCTGCCCCCGGATCTCTCATTGCTCAGACGCCCCCCATGCTCCATATCCCTCCTTCCTGGGGTCCCCAGGTTTGGCTTCCTGGGGTCCCCAGGTTTGGCTTCCTGGGGTGGGTAAAAGTCCCTTTCCCCTTCCGTCCCCGGGGGCCCCCATCGCACCCTGCCACCAGCCCCAGCACCCAGCCTACCTG